CTATACTAGTATCCTGTTTTTACTAAACTAGAATTGTTCCAGTTTGTGCTTAGCCTAGCAGTTTGGGGTCATGCCCTTTGACTTCCTCATAGCTTAAGCTGTGTACGTGACCTGCTCGCTTACACAAAATGGTGATTGACTCCATTCTGTTCCCCTTCACCCACAATGAGCATCTGAGGACAACGGCCAATGTCTATGTGGGAAAAGGAACACTTATACCTTCCAGTGACTTTCACTCATGCCAGCCCACATCCTTGATTTGCAGTCAAGGTGAAGTGAAAGACCCAAGTAATTGATGTCTTGGTAGCTTCTCCACATTATCACACTTTACCTCACCTTCCCCTTCGTGGATATATATGTATGTTTCATCTACCATAGAGAATCATAGAATCATAGAGAAGAAGGGCTGGAAGGGCATCTAGTCCAACCCCTGGTTTGAGGCAAGATCATCCCCATCCAAGCCATCATATACACTCTGTAATCTAAACTCTACACAAGACTACCATCAACCCTGATACAACACAGACCTAACTCCCTAACCTGCCATAAGTGAAGGAGGGGAATCATGGCAGCCAATGTCCTGCTTCTATGAAATGTTGTCAATATATGCTCAAGGGGTCCTGAGTAGAGGGCCATGCCATCTGCTAGAGAGGAATGCAAGACTCCCCACAGTCTGTACCAATTTGACCATGGGGTAAAATTCCTTCCTGACCCCAAATATGGCAATTTGTCTGACCCTGAGCAGAGGCAAGACCTTCTAGCCAGGAACCTCTGGCTTTGGTTCCACCAGGAGCATTGGCATACTCCAGTCAGAGTCCGCAGCCTTGGCTGCGGCAAACACCCAGTGCCTCTGAGGAACGTTTAAAAACACCACGACACATGTAGCAGGAAGAGGGTTGCAGGGGCAACCAACAAAACCCAGAAGCATGGGAAATACCCATAGTAGAACACAGGCATAGCTACGCATTGATCATCCCTGCCCAATGGCTGTACAACCTCTGCTTGAACACCTCCAGTGATGGAAAATTCACAACTTCCCTAGGCAGTCTAGTACGCTATCTCACTGCTGTAACAATGAAGAAGTTTTTCTGGATATCCAATCTAAACTTACTTTGCTGCAGCTTCAAGCCATTGGTCCATGTCCTCCTCTCTGCAGCAAGAAAGAAAAGGTGTTTTCTTTCCTCTTTATGGCAGCCCTTCAAGTATTTGAAGACTATTATCATATCCCCTCTTAAGTGCCTTTTTTGCAAGCTGAACACGCCTAGCTCCTTTAGCCTCTCCTCCTCTGACTTGCCTTCCAAGCCCTTGATCATCTTTGTTGCCCACTTCTGGACCCTCTCTAACTTTTTCATGTTCTTTTCAAAATGTGGAGCCCAGAACTGCGCGCTGTCTGCCAGATAAGGCTTAGCCAGTGCCAAGTAGAGAGGCATTATCACCCCCTCCATGTCTTGTGCCTAATGCTTCTACTGATGCATCCTAAAATCACACTGGCCTTTTGTGTGACTGAATCATGCTGCAAAGTCATACTGAGTCTGTGATCTACCCAGACCCCCAGATCCTTTCCCATAGTGCTGCCATCCAGCCAGGCATCCACCCCCATTTTATATTTATGTTTTTTAATTTTTCTTCTCAAGGTGCAGCACCTTGCGTTTGTCTGAGTTGAACTCCATCCTATTAACTCTAGCCCAAATTTCCAATCTGTTGAGATCCTTCTGAACTGCACTTGCATCCTCCAACATGTTCTCAATCCTTCCCAGTTTTGTGTCATCAGCCAAGTTGCTCAAGAAGCTTTCCTTGTCAGCATCTAGATCGTTAATAAACTTGTTGAACAGCAGTGGGCCCAGGACAGACCTGTGTGGGACTCTGCTCGAAAGCTCCTACCAGCTTGATATGGACCCATTAAAAACTACCCTTTGCTTAAGGCTATTGATACAGTTATCTATCCACCTTGTAGTAGTTTTATCTAGCCCACATTTCTCCAGCTGTTGCCGCAGATGCCAGTTCCCTCCCTTCCCTGACAAGCAAGTGATACTGTGGTAAAAATATGTTATAATCTAGTCATTATGATTTTGCAATAACGTTTGTGTAGCAGCTGTGTGGTAAAAATGTCTCATCTCCCTACACAAAGGCTTCACAGCTGAGAACTGTTTAGTTTCACTACATAATTGCTTCTGCATATTATCACACTTGCTTCTGCTAAGGTATGTAGGCCAATGATAGATTTACGAGTAGCACTAGACTTCTGCAGACATAGCCAGGAACAGACGCAACAAATAACTCCTTACGAGAGATAAGAGAAGAGGGACAGGGAAAGATGCTGATGTGAAGAACTCAGACCTTGACCGAAGAATGACCGAAATGGACTTAAGGACGGCCCCAGGGAGGAGATTTAAGATGTAAATGAGACACGTATGTAAACCGTCATAGAACATGTACCTGCTAGACATATGTTGTAAGACGTAATACTTGGGCTACCAATAATTACGCGACACGTTAGAATCTTTTGTTTATGTTAGCTATAAAAAGGAACCCCAGACTCTGTTTGGGGTCGACACGGATTTAAGTAAATTAAGCTCCCTTGTCGAACTTGTTTGCAAACAATAAATCTGAACTTGGACCCAGCCTGTGTGTGACTCTCTCCTAGGGGTGGATTGGACAAGCCTCCAGGGGCACGAAACTAGCCATTTGTGCAACAATACATTGTTTAGACAATTGAGGTGTAACAGCTAGCTAGCTAAAACGACCATAAAAGCCACTACTTCTTTTTTCCATGTAGTTCAAGAAGGAAATTAATTTAAATCTGTTTTTAGGGACAACATTTTCCATTCTGTGATGAGCAGGGGAGGCGGGCATGATTGCTTCAAAAAGGAAGACATTCAGCAGGCATGCAATAGGGTGCCAGTGCTTTGGAGGGGGCTGTAGCCAACGGTCCACAAGGCTGTGGAGCAGGGTGTATAGACAAAGGTTAAAGGGCATGCAGGAGCTGTGTGGGGAGTCCTGGACTGGGACAGCAGGGAGGGCAAGAGGGAGGGGCACTGGCAGAGCTGTGTGGGGAGCTTGCAGCGATTTCATAGATTTCAGATGGTCATGGAGGAGTTTGTGACCATTTGACCTTGTCATCCCTTGGGCCGCTCCGGTGAACAGACCTTCGTTCCCCCAGATCCTGGTGAGCACCCCTGATAAACGTATAGGTGACCACCAGATCACCCCCGAGCCTGCGCTTTTCCAGGCTGGAGTCCCATAGCGCTCAGCCTCTTGTCGTAAGGTCTGTTTTCCTGATCTCTGATCATGATCACTGGGTTCAGGCATACATGAATGAGCAGGACAACACAAGGCGTTTTACTGTGGAGCAGTAAGCAACTCCTGCAGACTGGTTAGCTCCTCAACTGAAGGACAGTCTCCCTGTTACCAGCTCAGGCTCCTTCCCTGGGGATCATCAGGATAGTTTCGGGAGCAGGGGTTTTGAAGTGCGGGGTCACAGACAGACTGCAGCTTGCAGGGTGCGTCTCCCTTCCCACTGCAACAGGAGAGAGGGAGAGGAAAGGCCCCTTCACTTGCGGTGCTGCCAGGCCCCACCAGTTTAACAGGACTCTTGCACCCCTGGCTGCCCTGCATCACCCCTCCCCCCCAGTCGCTGACCCCAGAGGGCAGGCGCACAGGAGCCCGCCATGAGCTGCACTTGTCGCCACATGCGCATGACCACATGCTGCTTGCCAGACGGCCCCGCCCCCAGCGCCCGCCCCGCGGCCCTGCGCCTCGCCACAGGCCCGTCCGCTGGCTCCCTCTCTAGCACCCTCCTGCTGCCGCTCGGGGAGCTCTGCCCACAACTAAGATGGCCCCTCGTTGCTCTGCCCGCTTCCAACATGGCTCCTCAACCATCGCGCGGTGCCAGGATCCAAAACGGCCCCCGGCACGGTCTCTTCAGCACGAGGCCGCGGCGTTGCCAGGATCAAAAATGGCGGCCGCGGCATCGCGCCGCTCGCCGGGACCGGCCTCGAATATGGTCGCCGCGACGCTCGGAGCGAACCTGCCCGGATCCAAGATGCC